GTGAGTTCTCCTGTTCATTGGGTCAACGGGTGCATGCCTCCCACCGTTTGTCAGTGTGACACATGTGTCGCCGCATCCGACCCCTGGTACATCCCCTGTCCATCTTATCCGGGCTATTGAGAGCAAACCATAAATCAATCGCCACGGTTGTTTTTTTGCTTCAATGTTTACTTACCCCTTTTACTTTCTGAGACTTCAGAATCATCATTTTCACCGGAGCACATTAACCCAAATTTCTGTCTTTACCTGTGAAGTAAACCATTCGCGTTATACTTATTTATTATCCATTTGTCTTTACCAGTGAGTTTCGTTGCATCACACAGACGTCGTGCGAAGGAAAACCGTGAATGCTCTTCGCATTCTTAGAACCAAAAATGTGAGGCTATTTAATGCCGGAGAACCAACGATCTCCAACTTTGACCTGACGTATTTTCATTTCTATTGGTACTTAGTTACTTATTTATCTAGTTAAGAGTATCTTCTGTTAGCGGATCATTTGGCTTTCCGGTTATCTAGAATGAAAGCTTTCTATGAGTGGCGGTTGGTGACGAGGTCAGTGCGGCTAATTTAAACTGCGTCTCAGAAATCCACGGAAGAATCACCTTGGGCCGTGATATAAACTAGTTTACCCAGTAGCTTTTTATTCGAGAATGCAACACTAGTCTTTGCACGAACTAGCAAGGCAGAAAAGTGCTATCGAGTCTCGTAACTATTCTCATTTCGGGTTAACCGGTCTTAAGATCTGGGCTGCAGCCGCTGTCTAGTGGGGAGCAGTTTCTTGGAGTCAAAGGTGAATGCTCAGTGTCCGTTCAAATCCCCCAACTGGAGAGATTCACTAAAGGGACAGGAAAGTCCTCTAATCAGAGGTGGGATTTTTCCACTTTAGCTTCTGTATTCCATTCCTATTGGTCCATCCCGTTTATCTATAGTCTACTATCTCTTTTGCTTAGAGTTGTGTGGTTCTCGTACTTGGCACGTCATACAAACCGCCACTGTTGTTTGTGATAGGTGGTGGATGGTTTAAACGGTTCAATTTCCTCAATTTCTTTCAGCTGCATTAATAGCGATTTGCGAGCACAAGAAACGGTCTGTTGACGATTAAGCTACACGAAGTCGAGGATGAATGTGAGGACCAAATAACCTGTCTGAACATTGTTCACTGGCATTTAGTGCTGATACCGCGCGAATCAAATTGTTGTGTCAATTATGTATTCCTCGAATACATGATAATTAATAATTCCAAATTTTCTGACTTCAATACGCTTTACGACATTTTCAGTAACAACGGGAGAAAAACAGAGTTGCCATTTGGAAGAAAATCTTTTGATGACCGGAAAAATCACTGATATGGGTTCAGATTGTGCACCAAACAAATAACGGTTCCGGATTCTTTCAATAATGGGAACAAAGAGCAGATTAGCAAATAACAGTAATGCGTCTGCACTTTAATCAGTCGGTGATGATGACGATGAATAAGCACCAATGCTTCTTTATGTAAGTGTTGACCCCTACTGACCATCGAGGTGTACAGTGCGCAGCTAGTAACTTACTGGAATCCAGAAGAAGTGGCCACTCAGCCCTGACACTTAGCACAATCTCAAAATCAGTATGACTTTATCTGTGAATAAAGTGTTGTTCTTGAACTATGGAGCAGAAGGACTGAACTTTGTGGATGACAATTGTATTAGTTTCATGAATATTTTTTTACACTGGCAGCAATTGTAATGCGTTACATCACAAAAGATTTATATGCGTCCTACGGAGTAGTTTCGAGAAGAGAGTCTCGAGGATGAGGGCGATTTTGAGGAGGATAGCTGAATTCACACGTCCTTTCCGTTGAAGGACACTTGGAATTTGGTATATATATAAAGTATCGGAAACCAGCATTAGCGTTGAATTTATTGAGATTACAAGCAAAAATAAGCATGAATTATCGCCATGAATCCTCGGAGAGGCATCGCGATAAACTGCGGTTTAAACTACTCCTTACATTATGAAATATCTGACGGTTAATAAACCGTAATTGGGTAGCAAGAGAGGTGATTATCAAGAATAATGCAAATATTGCCACCAAAGCTCTTTGTAGTACAGACATTAATCGTTTTTCTCACATGCCTGGTTCACCGACCGACAACGGTTCTTTGAAGATCAACACCGTTTTTCAAATGGTAAGCACATGCTACTCATGAGTAGTTAAATTATTTGTGCTGAAACGTTCAGATAACTGCGGGCAATTTATGCCCCAAACAGCTCGTGTAACGAGCGAATGAGCATGAACGGTAAAGCTGAGAACCACTGGGAAGCTGTTGCGACTTGGCTCAGGGATAAAAATTCTTGAATTTTAAGCGATGAAAAAATTTTTGGACCACCACGAATGGTTTGTACATATAATGTATGCATAATGTTGCATTTGCTCTTTTCGGGAGTGAGCATCAACAGTGTGGTTAATTAATGTGAAGCAGTCATGAAGGGTGTTTTTCCTACCAGGATAACAGACCAAGTGAAATCATCACACTCTGTTCCGTCGAGCTACTAGATGTACATTCGATTATTACCTGGTAGGTGCGTCTTCATTAAGTTCCTAATCCGATTCTCGGAGTAGTGTGCAGAAAGTCACTGAGGGATACCGAATATATTCAGTGAAACGTAAACAGGGAAAGGCATCTACACACCTGTTGTTAGTTAATATTATCCTAAACATGGTTTTACTATCATATTTGGCTAGAGAGTGTATTGAAGTATTGTCACTTTTCTAAGATAAGGGCATAAAAGCTGAGGAAAAATTTGGTGGGTCCACTTTTAGGAACACTTAATCCAACATCCCGTGTGGGCAAAGCTTACTTTACCAAATCCTAGTTGGCTCTCAACCGACTACCGGGAGGAAGCTGTTGCACCCTGAATTGTAGATGAATCCCAAAATGCTGGCCTGAAATCTGTTCCGTCAGAAAATTGACAGGCTACCAAATCAGAGATACTGGGAATCTTCCAACTGCATCAGAACGTTCTGTTACGATTCCAGTGAAATATAATAAAAGACAATTGTTGAGTCGAATTCTCATTCCGTAAATGAAGACCATCACTAGGGATAAAAGACGTTAGTGACGGGCACACAATGTAAAAAACAACTCCACTGCATTACTCGGTCACCCTGAAAATTTACAGATGTATAGGCGTAAAATTAGCTCATATTAACAATATCTTTTAGGCATTAAGTTTGTGCTAATTGATACTGAAATTTTTGGAAAATTGCATCGAGAAAATCCAAGTGGAATATTGCAGAAATATTAGACTGTTATTATAGACGCTTGCAAAGAAATTACGTAAAATGATGCATTTCAAGTGTTTGACGAAAATTTACAGAAGTTGAAATCACTTTACCCACTCGTTCACATTTTTCAATAGCTAATGATATTTATTTCGATGGTGGGGTCACCATGAAAGTTCAAGTCTTTAGCACAAATCCAAATTCAACTGAAGCATGTGAATTCCTGTTCAACAAAAAGGACGATTTGCATTTCTTTTGGTAAGTGCTATCTGATCATCAACGGATTCAAGGATCGTAATGATCACACGAGAAATGAACTGGTGGGACCCCATGCATAGAAATCTTCCCTTTTTGTTTCACTGAAGTATGGTTGGGAATAGCAGTTTCTCTTCAACTGATCGATTGAATATATGACTTTAGTGGATTGAACAGACCGCAAAATTATCATGAATCATCTTCATTTATGACCTGTCATTGGAGTTATTTACAATCTAAATAGTAGAACAGCGATAAAAAGGAGAAAAAACACGTGTGTTTTAGGTATGCACAAACCGGATCTAAATGAAAGATTGACCTGATTGATATTGACAAATTTCAGTTAGATTTTCTCATCGACCAAAGTCCCGGGAGATGAGAGACCGTTTGTTGGCTTAGATGAACGGAACTCAATCTTCCGAGTATTGTGGATGCATATTTGAATCAGTGAGTTGAATTTGCCCATGATTGTTACGCGAATTCATTCGAAACAATAACGTTGTGTTAACTTACTTGAAATATCATTTATCTCTACATGGTCGGAGTTGGGTGTTTGTGATGATCCAGACTTCCGTGACCGCAATCCATGCACGACCAGGTACAGTTTCATGTCATCCAATCACCGTTCAGGAAGCGCGGCCAATGGTACACCGGGTGAACATGACATCCGATTTAGTACGTATGATACGTCGACGCAAACGGTTACGTGATTGGGGGGTGCTCGTTCAACCAATCATATGGGTTATTACATTCTATAAAACATGATCTAATTCCATCAATAAACATAAGCATTTGCTGCTATCAAATCCTCGTGTATTTCATTGGTGTCCGCAATTCGGGTTGGAGCCAATTCGGTTCTGAGCACTACATTACGGGTTTTCCTATTCCTACATTCAGTACTATTCCCATTATCACAGTATTGTATCTCGTATAAATCAATAAGTACACAAGCAGTAAATTAAATGGTTATTCTATACCATCTGAAGTTGGATTTGAGAAACTGTGATTTTCATTTACATAGCCGTCGTTTGGGCTTGAGAAATCATCACTTAGACTTGAGAAAGAAATGCTGTGGTGCGATCCGCTTCCGCTCAGCGCACCTCATTGATCAATTGATCACATTTTTTCTACCCACAGATTGACCACCTGTGTTCCCACGCTCTTTCTGTGTTGAAGTGAGGCATCCAACTCAGCAGATGTAGCTCAGAAGTCTTCAATAGTACGGACCATCGAGTATTCGGCCGAGACTTTCCATTTTCTTCCTCTGGTATTGAAGTGATGCGGCTATTACGCCATGCTTCGTCGGCTTGACTGACTGTAACTGAACTTATTCAAAAATCCAATATTAAAACATGCTGATGTTCATTACTGTCGACTTATCTTACAATTCTGCCGGAAGAATAAACAATTTATTATTAGAGTCCCCAGAGTGGTCATTGATTTTAAGCTCAGTCGGCTTGCTGACCGCAAACTTGTGAAGAGAATATCCACTGTATCTTAATGTCATTTGTCGATGTTTCTTACTCTGAAAA